GGGGGGGGGGGACACGACACCACCAGGTCACCCCCAGCAGCTCCCCCAGCCCTCCCCAGGGCGTTGAAGGCTGGTTTTCCTTATGTTCTCCTGGCAAAGTTGGGTGTTCCCTGAGGAACGTGGGCTTGGTGGCATTTGTGCCTGTCCCTGCCAGGCATGGGGACACAGTTTGGGCATGGATTGGTGGGGAGGGGCCGTGGCAGCTCTGCTGTTGGGTTTGCAGGGGCTGCCGTGGGTCTCAGTGCACCCCTTGCACCTCAAACACCTCCAAAGATTGGGGGGCAAAGCATGACCTGGGGTAAACCCCCCCAGCATTGCCACCTCTGCTGGGGTCTGAGCAGGAGTGAGGGACCTCAAAAAGGTCTCTTCAGATCAACCCCACCCTCAACTAGAGGCCTGGAAAGCAGCGTTTTCAGGTGTTTGTCCCCAACCAGCCCCTCTCACCCACCTTCCTGTCCAAGCCTGGCTGGGTGAGGGTCACCCAGCCCATACCATGGGGTGGCCCATCTTCACTCTGACATTAAATCCCAGGGGCTTCACCTTCCATCCCCCTCACCAGCCTCTCAGCTGACCTCAGCCACCTCTTCCTCCACCTCCCCAAGGTCCCCCTGCTTCCTGCAAACACGTCAGGCCAACAGTTGAGGCTGATGGGGGTTCATTCCTCATCCTTCCCCCCCTCCAGGAGGCACCTGGGTGCATGAGAAGGGTGCTGGTGGCAGGTGAAGCAGCTCGATTGTATCTAAGCCCAAAGTTGACAGGGTAGTTTTGGAGGAGGTGTCAAAAAACTGTCCCATCAGGCTGGAGAAGGAGGAACCCACCACCCTCATGGGAAGGGATTTCTCCCTGTCTCTGCTTGGATCCTCTCCTGAGGATGGAGATGGGCTGGGATAAGGGATGGATGTGGCCTTGCTGGGGCCAAAATCCCAGAGCCCAGGTGCCAGGGGGCACCACCCAGGCATGGGCATCTCCATCCAGCCCAAGGAGGGGTGACATGTCCCACTGCAAACACTGACCCCCCAGCTGCCTTTTCCCCTGCAGCTCCACGGGCCCGACCAGCACCATCCCAGACTGACCCAGTCCAGCTCCTCCCTGACCCAGCATCACCCCTGGGCCTGGAACTCCCTCCCTAGGGAAGGGCACTGCAGGTCCAGGGAATGATGAAGCCTCCAGGGTCTCCATGGCTCCTCCTCACCTTGCTGGGTCTGAGCCAGGGCTGCAATCAGTGGCTCCAGCAAGACAAAGCCCCTCCAGCCCCAGGAGCTGCAGGTGAGAGCACTTTGGCCCAGGGGAGAAGCTTCCAGCTCCCCAGCTAGCTCCTCTCACCACCCTCCAATTACTTCCTCTTAATTACAAGCCATCATTAAGCACCAGGGCAATTAGAGAAGACGTGGAGGAGCTCGCTCACCCATCCCAGTGTCTGTGGTCTCCTCTGTGCACTCAGGTCTGCTCCACCACCCCCAGCTTTTGGTTGACAGGGTAGTTTTGGAGGAGGTGTCAAAAAACTGTCCCATCAGGCTGGAGAAGGAGGAACCCACCACCCTCATGGGAAGGGATTTCTCCCTGTCTCTGCTTGGATCCTCTCCTGAGGATGGAGATGGGCTGGGATAAGGGATGGATGTGGCCTTGCTGGGGCCAAAATCCCAGAGCCCAGGTGCCAGGGGGCACCACCCAGGCATGGGCATCTCCATCCAGCCCAAGGAGGGGTGACATGTCCCACTGCAAACACTGACCCCCCAGCTGCCTTTTCCCCTGCAGCTCCACGGGCCCAACCAGCACCATCCCAGACTGACCCAGTCCAGCTCCTCCCTGACCCAGCATCACCCCTGGGCCTGGAACTCCCTCCCTAGGGAAGGGCACTGCAGGTCCAGGGAATGATGAAGCCTCCAGGGTCTCCATGGCTCCTCCTCACCTTGCTGGGTCTGAGCCAGGGCTGCAATCAGTGGCTCCAGCAAGACAAAGCCCCTCCAGCCCCAGGAGTTGCAGGTGAGAGCACTTTGGCCCAGGGGAGAAGCTTCCAGCTCCCCAGCTAGCTCCTCTCACCACCCTCCAATTACTTCCTCTTAATTACAAGCCATCATTAAGCACCAGGGCAATTAGAGAAGACGTGGAGGAGCTCGCTCACCCATCCCAGTGTCTGTGGTCTCCTCTGTGCACTCAGGTCTGCTCCACCACCCCCAGCTTTTGGTTTTTGGCTCACTCCAACCACCCAGTGCTGGGATATTCCAGGAATGGTGGCCAGGCTCCCCGTGGGGTGCTCAGGGAGCCCCACAGCTCCCAGGAGTTCCCAAACACGCAGCTACAGGAGGTTTATGGCTCTTAAGACAACCCCAAACGTGGCCCAACCACAGCAGCTGGAGGTTTCATGCCAAAAGTTGGCCCCAACTTCCCCACCAACTTGGCAGGAGGTGGCACAACCAGCTGAGCATCTTCTCAACCCACTGAAGGACAAGCCAACCCCAAGGCTTGTCTCCCCCAGACCCACCTTGCCCCCTTCCTAATGACAGAGCAGCCCCACCAAGCCCAGCAACACTTAAATAGAGGAGAAATCAACCTGGTGGCCCCAAGATGAGACACTGGGTTACACCAAGTCTCTGCACAAAGCACTTCAGTTCCCAGGGCCACCTCATTTTCCAGCAGCACCAGGCACAGATGGACACTGATCTCCTGGTACTGGACACATTCATGACCTGAAGATGAGCCTGCTTGAGGTGGATGAGGAGGATTTTAAAGCCATCTCTCTCTTTTTTTTTTTAACCCAAGTGGAAACAGGCCAGTTTGTAGTTCTCATTCACATCCAAAGAGAAGTCACCACCCTTAATGTGACCTGCAAAAACTGGCTCCCTTCTCCATAGGTTCTTGTCCCTGCAAGGTCTGAGGACCCAAAGCTGGGCTTTAGCTTTCTGCACCTGAGAGAAACCAGAACCAACCAAAAACCAGCCCTGAGAAGGGGAATCAGACCTGCAGAATCAGAGCTGCAGGGTCAGACCTGCTTCAGAACTCCCTGTGACTGGTGAGGGTGGCTCCTCAAAGCCAGCAGCAGAAGACATGGGTGCCACCAGCAGCCCAGGGCAGCCACACTCAAAGTTCCTCAGGGCAGAAATGCCCCCATTTTCTACACTCCTCAAGCAAAGCAGTGCTCATCTGTGTCCAACCTTGCACTGCTGGCCATCCTTCCCCTCCTGAGCGATCTCCTGGGCTTCACTCCCCCCAGGTGACACCCCAAACTGGAGCAGAGGTTGTTCCACCCCATCTAATTCCCCGTTTCCCCAGTTTCCCATTTCTCATTGTATCTCCAGAGCATCTCTGACCTTCACAGCAAAGGTCCCTGCCAAAATTGGGTCATTTTTTTACCCCAAATCCTCCTAGTACTGCTGGAATGAGCCCCAACCTCATCCTGGCAGGACCTAAGTCCCCAACTTTCAGCTCAGCTGTTAAACCAGAGCTGAAAGCCACGTCCTTACAGACGTGAGGATGGATTTTTTGGGCTTCCTCAGCTTTTGGCTGAGTTTCTGCTAAAACCAGATGCAGAATGGAAATGTTGGCTGCCCAGCTCACCAGGAGAGGCATGGGATGGAGAGAAGCTCCATCAGCTCTAATCCTTTGGCCTCTTCACACAGGAACTAGACATGAAACGTGTCGTTTCCAAGGGACGTTTCATCTCCTGAATATCTTTGCCTGAAAGGGCTGATTGGTCAGGACAAGCTCTCCAGTGACAAACACCATCACGTGGGGGGATGGAGATGGAAGGAGCAGCATCATGGAATCACAGACTGCTTTGAGTGGGAAAGGCCCTTCAAGATCATCTAGATCCACCCCCTGCATGGGCAGGGACCCCTCCCACCAGCCCAGGCTGCTCCAAGCCCCATCCAACCTGCCTTTCAACACTGCCAGGGATGGGGCAGCCACAGCTTCCCTGGGCAACCTGGGCCGCCACCCAGCTTTCCTGGAGCCCCTTCAGGCACTGGAAGCTGCTCTAAGGGCTCCCTGGAGCCTTCTCTTCTCCAGGCTCAACACCCCAACTCTCCCAGCCTGGCTCCAGAGCTGCTCCAGCCCTCCCAGCATCTCTGGGGCCTCCTCTGGCCTCTCTCCAACAGCTCCATGTCCTTCTGGTGTTGGGGGCTCCAGAGCTGGACACAGCTCTCCAGGTGGGGTCTCACGAGAGCTGAGTAGAGGGGGAGACCCCCCTCCCTTGACCTGTGGGTACTGGGCTGCTGGAGGAAACCTGCCCAAGCTGCTGGCACTGATAACCCAGCTCTTGGCTTGTGCTGCTTCTGGCACAAAGGGTTGGGTTTCCTTCCCATCCCCCCAGCTTTGCTTTTCTTCCTTTCCACAGCTCCTGAAACTCTTTGCCCTGTTGTTCCTACAGCTGGAAAACCTCCCAAAACACTGTGAGGGGGGGGAAAAAAACCCAAAACAACCACCAGCATTTAATAAGGAACATTCACTAAACGGGCTTGATTCCAAACCCAAAGAGACCCCAAAATGTCACAACACTTCAAATGTCCCAAGCTTGGCTCTTGTTTTCCCTGTGACCTGCTCTGTGCCCTGGCTTGGTGCAGACACCATGGCCAGATGCCTGCAGCACCCAAAAGGTCACTGGAATGGCCAGGGGACAACCAGAGGGACAGCCCCACTCAGCCCAGGCTGCTGTGCTGGTGGCACATCCAGCCAGAGGCTGGAGATGAAGCAGATGCTGGGGAATTAGGTGGTGTTAGGGAAAGGCCAAGGAATCAGTTGGTTTTACTGACCTGAGGAGCATCTCCTGGCTGGCTGCAAGGTGGTTTGGCCATGGAAATGATATATCCCATGGGAAGAGGTTGGGTCCAAGAGCCCCTGCCCAGGGCCAGGTCCTGCCTCTCTGAAGCAAAGTGTTGGAGCCCCACACCCCTTCCCACCAGCCTGGAGCTAAACCTGCCTAAACTCTGCCATTAAACACCAAGTGGATCAGATCCATGAAATCCAATCAAACTCTTCCAAGCTCTTCCAACCAACAAGGTGTTTTTCCCACCCAAAATGATGCTCTGGTTCTGAAGCTGCAGCTCCTGCACCCGAGGACAGAGCAGTTTGTTTCCACCAGCAGGTGCTGAACCCCAGACCCACCTCCCTGCAGAACCCCCAGCCTGGCTCTCACCATCCATCCCTCTGGGGCTTCACACCACAAACCCAACACCAACACTGGGCTGGGGGGAGGTTCTGCAGGAGCTCTTTTCCCAGAGCAAACCTCCTCCAAAGCAAAATCCCAGGAGGTGAGGTGGTGAGAGATCCCTTTGGGTTGCCCCAGGGCACTCAAAGGCACCTTGTCCTCACGCCTATGGAGGCTGCAGATCCAGAAAGGCACTTGCAGAGGGGTTTTTTTGGGCTCCCTCCCCATCTTCCCAGCTGAAAGGGGAGCTTTAGGGCGTGGGGAAGGAGTGGCAGTAGGTCCATGTCCTACCTGCCTGCTTGGAGAACCCCCGAGATGCTGAAGAGGCCGAAGTCAGTGATCACCACCTTCCCGTTGTCGTAGAAAACGTTTTTTGACTTCAGGTCCTTGTGAAGGATCCCCTTGGCGTGCAGGTAGCCCATTCCCTAGGGAGAGAAGAGAGAGAAAAAGACCCCCTCAGGTGGCACAAACAGCCAGGGCAGGGACAGCCCCACGAGTGCCAAGGTGAGGAGAACATCCCTGAGCCACGGCGGCACGTCCGCGCTACCGAGCTACGGCTGAAGGCCACGTGTCCCCAACGTGTCCCTGCAGAAAGGGTCCAAGAGGGGGGTTTGCTGGCTTGGGACAGGCACTGGGTGGTGCTGCTGGAGGGTGATGGGCTCATGGGGTGGGCATCCCAGCTGTGATGGCTCCCACTCATCTTCCTGATTCATTGATTGCGCGAGAAAAATTAGCAGCCGAGCAAACTGGCAGGTCGTTTCCTGAAATCCTCTGCTGAGAAATTGATGGTGATGATGATGATGTTTTCCCCTCTGTTCTCTTTTGGGGCTGGGAGCAGAAGGGTAATAAGTCAGAGCTCTCCATCATCAAGGCCCTGGCTGAGCCATTAGTGCTTCCTATGCAACACACCAACACCACCAGGCTGGAAACAAGCTCCTCGCAGGAGTCCTGCCTTCATTCTTTTCCCCTGGGACAAAAATGACTTGGTGGTTAATTAAAATGATTGCTAATGATGTTAAAGAAAAAAAAAAGGCCATGGATGGGAATTCCAAACTCTCCTGCATTGGGCTCCTCCAGCAGCAGCAGGTGGAGCAGACGGTCGGCAGCTCCATGTGGCCAATGTTCAACTCAACGGGGCAACCAGCTCCAGGGAGGGCAAGCAAAGCTATTTATCCTGCCATCAGCAGGGCTTTCCGTGCTGCCCCACTTGTCATTCTCATAAGCAGACCAGGAAAAACTCGGTCTGGAGGAAAGTGCTCAGGGATCCAAGGTAGAAGGGTCAGCAAAGTGTTGCTGAAGTGCAAATGTCAGTTGGGCGTCGCTGTTTGTGAACTGGGTCTCCAAGGGGGGCTCATCCTAGGTCTGATCCTTCCGTGGGTGGTTGTTCCATCAGGCAGGGAGTGTTTTTTAAGTTTGCAGCTGGGAGGGATGCTCTGAATTCAGAAATGAACTGGGGAAATTGGGAAAGTCACCTGCAAACCCCACGTATCTGAGAATCATAGATTGGAGTGGGTTGGAAGGGACCTTAAAGATCATCCAGATCCAACCTCCCTGCATGGGCAGGGACACCTCCCACTAGATGAAGTTGCTTAGAGCCACATCCAACCAAATCCTCAAATGCAGAAGGCCAAGACATGAGGAAATAATCCTGAAGGTACCAAGGGCTTGGCAGCCCCACAGGGCTCTGCTCTGCTCCAGGGGCAGTGGGAAAGGCTGGGGACAGGCAGGGACAGCAGCCACCCCAACACAGCAGGTTCTGGGGGTTCATCTGTATCCCTCAGTGCTCACATCCCAAAGAGCTTCTGCTCAGGGATAATGGAGGAAGGGGAGGATTTGGAGCTGCAGCAGACCCTGAGATGATGGAGCTGCAGCTGGATGTCTGGACCTGCGTCCCCAGCAGTGGGACCAGCAGGGCCAGGGAGGGGATTGTCCCCTCTGCTCTGCTGAGACCCCCTGCAGGGCTGGGGCCAGGGCTGGGGTCCCCAACACAGGAAGGACATGGAGCTGTTGGAGAGAGGCCAGAGGAGGCCCTGGAGATGCTGGGAGGGCTGGAGCAGCTCTGGAGCCAGGCTGGGAGAGTTGGGGTGTTCAGCCTGGAGAAGAGAAGGCTCCAGGGAGACCTTAGAGCAGCTTCCAGTGCCTGAAGGGGCTCCAGGAAAGCTGGGGAGGGACTTGGGACAAGGGCAGGGAGGGAGAGGACAAGGGGGAAGGGATTAAAACTGGAAGAGGGAGACTGAGGTTGGACATGAGGAGAAAATTCTTTGCTGTGAGGGTGGTGAGACCCTGGCCCAGGTTGCCCAGGGAAGCTGTGGCTGCCCCATCCCTGGCAGTGTTGAAGGGCAGGTTGGATGGGGCTTGGAGCAACCTGGGCTGGTGGGAGGTGTCCCTGCCCATGCAGGGGGGTGGGACTGGATGATCTTTAAGGTCCTTTTCTAACCCAAACCACTCTATGAGTCTGTGATTAATTAGGGATCTCCAGGTCCCAGCACATGAAATAATGATGAGGTTTTCAAATCTGCTCCAAAGTGTCACCTTGACAGAGCCCCAGGGTTCTGCATCCCAGCGCTATGAACCTGCTCCTCCTGCAAGGGGCAGTGCAGGGCAGGATGAGTCCCAGCATAGGGGGGATGCTCCACAGCCCCATCCCAGCAGCAGGGATTGAAGGGAACTGGGAGCAGGGACCTTCCCCACATGCCCACATGGCTGGGACCTCATCTCCCAGGGAATCCCCAACCACATCCAAGCCTTTGCTGAAGGGGTTTCTCCAGCTAAACCTGAATCCCTCACCTCGTTCCCTGGGGTATCACACAAATCCAGCCCCGTTGCCTTCACCCTTGGGATGATCAGGGAAAAAAAACCTCCCTGGTCTGGTCCCTCCTCACTTTGCTGGGCTGCCCGGCGTGAGAGCAAAGAGCCAGCTCCCTCTGCTGGCTCCAGGTCCCCTCTTCCTCACCCAGAGGGGGATCAGACACTGGGATGGACTTCCCAGGGAAGTGGTGGAGTCACCATCCCTGGAGGTGTCCAAGGAAAGGCTGGATGAGGCACTTAGTGCCACGGTCTGGAGACGTGGGGGTGTTGGTCAGAAGCTGGACTTGATGATCTTCAAGGTCTTTTCCAGCCTTGGTGATGCTGTGGAAGCCCCTTTGGCCTCCAGAGGCTCATGGCCCAAGGAGCTTCCTGCATCCACTGATCCAAGGGGCTCAGCAGCTCTGCTGGCACTCCTGGGGGCTCAAATGATCAATTCAAACCATTGCTGTGGGCAGGGAGCAGAGCTGAAGCCTCTCCTGTGGTCCTGTCTCCTGCTCCTCTGGGTGATGCTGCCCCAAGCCCAACCAACCCAAGAGGTTGGGGTTTTCCTTCACTTCTCCACTCCAACCAACTGCAAGTCCAGCAAAGCACCCTGAACATCTGCTGGTGGGATGTGGAGAGGTGGGAAGGCAGAGAAACTGCTCTTATTGAATCATCATAGGATGGTTTGGTTTGGAAGGGACCTGAAAGATCATCTAGTTCCAACCCCCCTGCATGGGCAGGGACACCTCCCACCAGCCCAGGTTGCTCCAAGCCCCATCCAACCTGCCCTTCAACACTGCCAGGGATGGGGCAGCCACAGCTTCCCTGGGCAACCTGGGCCAGGCTCTCACCACCCTCACAGCAAAGAATTTCCTCCTCATGTCCAACCCAAATCTCCCTCTTCCAGCTTTAATCCATTCCCCTCATCCCACCCCTCCCTGCCCTTGTCCCAAGCCCCTCCCCAGCTTTCCTGGAGCCCCTTCAGGCACTGGAAGCTGCTCTAAGGTCTCCCTGGAGCCTTCTCTTCTCCAGGCTGAACACCCCAACTCTCCCAGCCTGGCTCCAGAGCTGCTCCAGCCCTTCCAGCATCTCTGTGGCCTCCTCTGGACTTGCTCCAACAGCTCCATGTCCTTCCTGTGTTGGGGACCCCAGCACTGTCCCCAGCCCTGCAGGGGGTCTCAGCAGAGCAGAGTTGAGGTGACAACAGTCTCTAAACCTTGTCCTCAACCCCCCACCTGGAGCAACACAACCCACAGAGGGAAGAGGCTGAGCTGAGACCTTCCCTCCCACTGGGAACATCTGGGAGGTGGAAACCCTGAGCACAGGTGTGTTTGTAGCCAGGGGAACAAACATGAGGCAAACTCTGTGAGGGCTCAGACCTTCACTTGGTGGGAAAAAAACCCATCCTGAAAAGGTGGAAAATAGGGATCAAGATTAGAAATGAAGCAGAAAGGCCCCTGGGTGGCTCAGATACCCCCAGGTCAGGTCAGAACTTCTCCTCTCCAAGATGCCCCTTGCCAGGTGGCTCAGCAGAGCAGTTCAGCTGCTGCCCCAGAGGTTTAGGGGAGGGGGGAATTGAAGGAATTCCCCTTAAAAAGAGCATGAACTTTGCTAAATCTGGGTGTAAAGAAGCAGAAAAGAGGCAATAGCAGGGACAGGAGGAACACGGGGCAGCAGCACCACTTGGGGTTCATTGCTGAGCATGTTCTGGTTTCTAACACGGATTTGAAGGGGTTTAAGATCTGCCAGAAAAGCTTCATTTTGGTTTGGGTTGGTTTTCCTCCCTCCTCCCAGGATAAACACATTGAAGATGAGATCACCCTCAGGTGATTTGGGCTTGCTGGGGCTGGAGGTGCTGGCTGACCTTGGTCAGGACACAGGGCCAGTGGCACAGGACACGTGCCAAGTACTTCTGGTGTCCTTGGGTGTTCCACACATTGGGAATCACAGAAGAACCCTGCAGGTGGCTCAACACCTCTTGGGAAAACAAGCCCCTGCAGCTTGGAATGGCTCAGGAGCCAACTTCCCAGCCACTTGACCCGACCTCCTGAGGACCCTCCCCAGCATCTATTGATACCATCGTGTCTGAAGTGCTGAAGATGCACTTGGGATCACCCCTGGGAAATGAAAAGGGGGTTTTAGCTCTGGAAAAAGGATGTCTGCTCTGCCTCCTGCCATGAGCACCACAGCACTGACTCCTCCAGGTGCCTTGGCTGGGGGTTGCTTTCACTACAGGCATCTGGAAACATCAGACCAACCTCAGGTTTTTTCCAAGAGGAGAGGAACATCCAACCAGGAACTTGCTCACAGAAGCAAAGCTGAACTTAAACCCCTGCACTTAGAGCAACGGAGTCACCAGAGTTGGAAGGGACCTCTGAAAATCACCTAGTCCAACCCCCCTGCTAGAGCAGGGTCACCTCCAGCAGGTCCCACATCCAGGTGGGTTGGGAATGTCTCCAGGGATGGAGACTCCACAGCCTCCCTGGGCAGCCTGGCCCAGGGCTCTGGGACCCTCAGGGTCCAGAAGTTGTTCCTCGTGTTTAACTTGACCCTCCTGTGCTCCAGCTTGTGCCCATGGCCCCTTGTCCTGTCACCACAAGTGGACCCAAGGGGGGCAATTCCCAGAGGGAAGAGGAGCTGTGGCCAGGATGAGCCCCAAGCTCCCAGGCAGCCTTGGTGCCACCTCAGCTCAGCCCAGTGTGGCTGAGAAAGGTCCGGAAAACCCAGTTATTAAAGGTGTGATCCTGCCCAGATCCCTTTGGCTTCTCCATTCCCACTTCCCAGAGCAGCTCAGCTAGGCTCTTGGCAGGATCTGGCCCCTCCTTGGTGCTGAGCTGCCCTCCCTCCAGCCCTTACCTTCACGATTTCCTGGGCTATCTGCCTCGTCTTGTTGACGTCCAGGACGATCTTGGCGTCTCTCACCACCGAGTAGAGAGTCCGACCCTTACAGAGGCTGGAAGAACAGGAAAAGGGAGAAGATAAACCCACACTTCCCAACCCACCACCCCCCAGAAACCCCCCCCCACAAACTCCAGAGGCAGCAGCTGCAGCAGGGAACTATAAATAACCACAAGAGCTTTGCTTACATCCCAAGGCGAGTTGGACGTTCAGCAAGGACACCGGGGGGCTCTCCCCAGTTTGGCACTGGGTTGGACTGGGGCCACCGTCATGGGTGTTGAGCCCCAGGAGTGGGGGAACCTGGGCTGATTCCTGGCTCCTTCCCCACATCCCAAGCATGAGAGAACCACCTGCTCCTCTGGCTTCAGGCTTTTTGGGCCACTGGTCCCCTCCTCTTCCCTCAGAGGAGACAATACCCACAGATGGAACATGAGTCAAAAGAGGAAAGGCAGGGAGGGGGGGGGGACAAAAAAACCCCCCCAGAACAAAAAAGAATCCCAACCCAACTCACTGTACAATGTCCTCCAATTTTCCTTCTCGTACCAATTACAGTAAAATCTATTTACAGAGCCTCAATTACCAAAGGCAGCTGGAAAGGGGAGGAGGGGATGGGGGGAAGAGAGAGAGAGATATAAACCAATTAAAAATATATTGACATTTGAATATCATCCTGGAGAACGTGGGTGGCTGCTGCCTCGACTCCCTCCCACCCAAAAGAAAGGGCTTTTTTGCTTCTCTGTGTCCACCCACGCTCATCAAAGGCAGGTTTAGAAAGATGGGGCTGGAAAGCTGGGCCTGGGAAAGGAAGGGCCTGACACACACAGGGGTTAAAGAGCCCTCGGTGAGCACAGCTGGTCCTTGCATCCTCTGCTACTTCAGGAATTCCAAGTTCCAGGCTTGAATTCCTCTGCTCTCCCCTCCCTGCAGCTTCGTGGTTTCCTCCCTCTCCTCCAGCCCCAGAGGAGGCAGCAGGGACAGGCTTGGTCCCCTGTTTTGGTCTTTTTGGGTTGTTTTTGTGGTGGGAATAATCAGCCTGAGCTGCCTCCTGAGGAGCATCACCCCCAGGTGCCCTGTGCTTCCCTGGGTACCACCCAGGTAGGGAGAGGTTCAAACCCATCATTACCACATGGCCAAGGCCACCACCTCAGCACCAACAAGGTCCCCATGGGCAACGAGCCCCCCCAGAGCAGGGATGGTAGAGGCTCCTCTCCAGAACGTTGGGGAAGGCTGAGACCTTAGCAGCTCTTCCAGGGATTCAGGTGGTTGGGACAGGGATGCCCTTGGTGGGACTTAACCTTCTTCAGAAGTTCATGGACCCTCCAGCTCCCAAGCCAAGAGCTCCACGGGCAGAAAGCACAACATGGTCAAGCAGGAATAGGGCTGGTCCCATATCTCATGGGTTTTGGGAAGCCAGCAGCAATCTTCAGAGGACCTTGTAGCAGGTTGTGTTGGACACCAGCAAGGAAGACCTGTCAGGGAGTTGAGGGCATCTCCATACCCGTGCAACTGCCTCCTTGGTGACACTTGTCATTGCTCCCAGCACATCCCTGGGCCCACCAGCCAGGCTGCAGACCCCAGGCACCCACTGACACCTAAACCAGCTGCTTCAGATCTACAGGAGCTTGGCTGCAGCCACAGAGAAACCCAGGTTGGGCTGAAAATGAGGATCCACATGCTCCAGCTGGCTAAGACCACCCTGGGGTTCCTGCAAAATCACGACAGACCAACCTCTGTGACACAACAGGGTTCCTGCCACCTCCCTTGACCTGCCTGGGCACTGAGATTCCCGGTCCCACCAAACAATTGGGTTCCCTCAGAGGAGAACAACCCAGAAAGCTGCTCCTTCTCTGCCTCCCTCACAAATCGACATCGCAAATGGAACCAATAGGGTTTGATTTCAGCCCTAAAGTGGGGCCAGATCAGCTGGTTTCCCCCGGAGAAAGAAGAAAAGGGGTTGTTTAGAAACAAAGCCTCCAGTTTCTGCCCATCCAAGCTGTGGTGACCCCAGGAGGGGGCTTGCAGGTCTCACCTGCTGAGACTCCCATCTCACCACGTCATGCAAAGAGGAGCCCCCAGCATGAGGACAGCGACCACCTCTCAGCCCCAGGCTGGTGTTCCCCCCACCCAGTGCTGACACCAGTGGGCACAGGACATCCCACCACTGCTCCTCAGACCTTGGCACAGCCCCCCCCAGGCAACCAGGTGCTTTTCTCCTCCCGCGTCGCCTCCTCGACATGAATTCAACCACCGCCCCGCTCTTTGTGGGAGTTTTCTTGCTGGAGAAGGAGCTGCCAGAGCAGAGATAAAGCCTGGTTGATACCTATTATGCAGCACCTGAGCCCATTCAACCACCACCTGGGCAACCTTTTCACGGTGGAGCTTCAATAGCTCCGCTCCTCCTCGTTCCTCGCCCCGTCGTCAATCGCTCCCAGTTGGGGCAGGAGCAGCAGGGACAAAGCCCAAGCTCCCAGGGCACGTTCTTCATCATCATCATCACCATCAGGGTGGCATCGAGGCACCTGCAGATCACGAGGCCAGAACCCGCCCACGCTTGACACCACAAACAAAAGGCAGATGATTTTGTGTCTTCAGGCAGCTCCTTCACCACTGAAGCACATTTTTGGTAAACAACCAGTTGTCTTCTCTGCCTAAAACCTCTCCAATCCCACCCAGCAGCAGAGCAGGCAGCTGCAGATCACGAGGCCAGAACCCGCCCACGCTTGACACCACAAACAAAAGGCAGATGATTTTGTGTCTTCAGGCAGCTCCTTCACCACTGAAGCACATTTTTGGTAAACAACCAGTTGTCTTCTCTGCCTAAAACCTCTCCAATCCCACCCAGCAGCAGAGCAGGCAGCTTGGGGGGACACGTGTTGGGACCAAGCCTCACTCAGTGCCGAGGGGACAGCAGGGACAGCCTGGATGGGCAGCTCTGGGGAGAGGGGAAAGGTCCTTCCAGGAGCTCCCAGCACCCAGGAGCTCCTCTCAACCCCACAGCACAACCTGAGCTGGCAGCCCCAGCCCCGTAGCCCCATCCTGCAGATGCAAGTCTCTTATTCAAAATGAGGTTTTGAAGTGTTCAGCCAAGCAAGCCAAATCCCAAATTGCTTGATAAACACTGCGTGTCACCAGCGTGGGCTGAAGACATCAGCAATGGGAGCCAAGCCAACAGAGGAACAATTTAGGAGGGATGAGTGAGGAAGAGCTGGAGCCTCTTGATATTTTTTGCCATTCCAGGTGAAAACAGCTTCATCCATCCCTCACCCACTGGGGTTTTTTTCTCCCCCCCCCCCTCCTGCAACCTCAGTTTTGATGGCAACCATCTCTACGTTGAGGTCCATCACCCTCTACAGGAATGGCCATCACCCCCTACCCTGATGGCCATCCCCTCTACCCTGGTGGCCACCATCCTCTACGTTGATGGCCACCATTTCTACCTTGATAGCCACAAGCTCTGTGAGGTTGAAGACCTCAGCCTGGCTCCTGCTCAGGAGCAGGAAGAAATTCAGAGCTGAGGCCACAGCACCCGGGTTGGGATGCTCTTCCCCACCAGTGTTTTGTGCTTTTCTTCCCCAACCATCCACACAAATGCCCATTAAATTTAACAGGCTCATTTAAACACCCCAAAGTGATAAATGCCAGACCCCAGGAAGCTCATTACTTGCTCATATATTGATTTATGGGGAACCAGCTCAGATGCCATGGTGATAGCCAGCACTCTCCACCCAGGGGAGACACAGAGAGAGAGAGTGGGAATTAATAAGAAGTACTTTAATATAAAAATACCTCTGCCAGCAGGTTGGAGCTGTGCTTGAGGAAAGGCAGAGCAAAGGAGGGGCTGCTCAGATGCCTCCACACTCTCCATCAGTTTCCTGATGAGGAGGATTTCATTGAAAAGAGGGAATCTTTGGGGACTTGAAAGATACCACCACAGCAAGTGGAGCTGCTGCTGAGCTGGGACTTGGTGGGTTTTATTTGAGCCAGACAAGCCGTGGCAGGGAGGGGAGGAAGGAGACCAGCACCTGCCTGAGCTCTTTGGGAAGTTTTCAAGCTGTTTCCCTA